TATATTCAAACTATATTATCCCCCTTGTCTAAGGTTTGAGTAAGAAATATCCAAAAACTCCAAAATTGTGTTCAAACAACCAACTTTATAAAATTTCAAGACCTTTTTTCATATATGTAGTGATCATTTCATTATAATCCCTTCAACATATTACAACCAAACCCCTAGTCAATAAATGACTAACAAAAAAGAGATGGATATCTGAGCAAATACGTTTATTGGATTAAAATTTGGCTTTTCATATAATTTTGGAAGAAAACATAATAATATAAATTCCATCTCTGATACAGACTTCAGAGTTTACTTTGGGTTATTATACCAGTTACAGATTTTTTCAGATATTTGTCAACTAGTATTCCAGACCAGGAATAAGGTGAGCACTTGACAATTAGAGAACATATTATAAGACAACATATGGTAAAATAATAAGATTATAAGTAGAGGTAACTGATAACGCTGGTCAGGATGATTAGAAATTTAATAAGATGATCCACAGAAGCCAGATCCGAAGACTGGCCTGTAACAAGAAGATTGGCAGGAACCAGAAGCCAGATAGGCTGGGCGGCAGAATCTGGAGCCATAACTCACAGAAGGGAAACCACAGACTCCATAACCCAGGGGTCTGAAGCTATTAGATCCACAGCTCTGTGAGTAGCAGCTTCTAGATCCGTAGCTCAAGGAGCGGCAGCTGGGGGACCCAAAGTCCAGACATCCTGAATAGGTCGTCTGGCAGGGATTGCAGAGCTTGGGTGTTCTTGGGCGGTAGCAGGACGTCTGGCAGGGACTGGACACTTCACAGGACGTCTCGCAGTTTGTGGGCTCGAAGCAGGTCTCCTGGCAGCCTCTGTAGAGAGAGGAGCCCAGCTGGCAAGAGCTGGGAGAGCAGAGGTTAGGGCGGAGGACCAAGTTGCTGGGATAAGAGCCACAGGAGGTCGGGTACTGCAGGTAGCCCCCAGAGGAGCGAGAGGAGAAGTTTCCAGAGCAGCAGTTGTAGGGCATGTTGGCAGAAGTGAGTTCAGCTGAATTTCAGTGAGACGATTCTGAGTGTGATGCCACTGCAGGACTGGAAAGTTTATATACTCTCAGCAATGGGTGTGGTATGTTAAGATGTCTTTTCCATATTTGGACTCCCTCATTTGCATAGATGTAGCTCAGTCATCTTTGTAATTGCAGTGAACTAACTCCCTTCATCTTAACTTTATGGGTGAACTCATTTTTGTTTTTATAGCTCCATGTCAATGAAATACATTTATGGTACAAATGCCATGACTGTATATAATTACTACCTATTCCATCACGGCCAGGAAGGCCCCTTTATTTTCTCTGGCCATAACTTTTTCATCTGCTCCTGTTTTTGCTGGAAATTTTTTTTTCCTTCCTACATAGGAGTTGTACTATAGTCATCTCCTTCTGGTGAGTGGCAGAGAGATGGAAATCTGATTTTGATGAGAACCTTCTAAGGACTGTCCCTAATTCAAATCATTGATTCACAATGCCCATTGTAATTTTCCATATATAACTTAGTATTGTCAGGGCTTCCTATGTGTAATCTAAAGAGGTCACAGTACTTTTAAGTACTACAAAGGGTTTGAGAGATGCCAAGGAAGGGACATAATCTTGAATAAATATGTAGAGAAAATGAATAATTAGAAAACTGAAATAAAAACAAAAGTAAGAAGAGCCTATTATGAAGCCACGTGCAGGAAAACAAACTGGCAGATGCTACTGAGATGAGGTAGGAGAACTAGTAAAACACAGAGAAGGGTGAGACTGGCTTGATTCTTCTCTGCCCATCAGGTATAGATGGAAACTCTACACTCAATTCATTCCAATTCAAATTGTCACAAAAAACAACTTCGTTCAAGGCTTTTGTATCATTCATTTATATTTGTAAGATGTCCTGTGTTCTACCTTCCCACAACAGCCATAAGCCCTCACTTCAAAATTTTGAATGTCGCCCTGATCACTCTAATTTTATTGACACACGTATTTTTGTTGCTACTTCTGCTGTTGTCTTTGTCCCTCTTGAATTCCAAATCAAATCATAAAACAAAAAATTTTAATGACTCATAGATTCATTATGCTCTTTAAATATAAGTAGGATTTTTTAAAGTTCAGGAGAAAATGGAATTAAAGTATGAGTTTATCTAGGTTCGAAAGATGTTGAAATACGTACATCGTATTTTCATAATACACATTTTCTATGAACTTTTAAACAAATTCTTCATATGTATGTTTTCTGAGAATTCAAGACAAATGTACTAATGTAATGCACTCTAGTTGTCAAGTACTCAAGGACTCAAGTAGTATAAAGGCTATGTCACTAGGTGCAATTTTATTTTAAAAAATAATAAAATTATTGTGTGGTGAAATGATCAATGTTTCCTCAAAGTATGTTAAATAGGATTTTTCTTTTAAATAAAAAGACTCACAATACAAGAACTGTATAAATGAAAGGAATGATAAAGTAGCTACACTCTTATTAAACAGCTACTTTTGAAGAATTTATATTATGATCTAAATTTCTAAATTTGTTTTTATGGGTTCCTGGCACTGGGGTAAAAGTCCTAGTCCATGTCATATTGTAAAGACCTTTTCTTTCTAAAAATCTCTGCTTTCCAAAGAGTTTTTTTGAAAATAGTCATTGTTTCACAACTAAGAATGACTGTGTTTACTGGAGGCAGGAACAGTGTTCATCAAATGAACAATGTCAGCAAATTTGTCCACCATGGCACAACTTTCTGCCTCTCCAGTCAGGCCCTGGTGCCCTTCTCCTCCCTGTACGTACCCACCACTCTCCACATGCATGTCCCCTGTCCTCTGTCAAATCCAGCTCACATGAGCTTGATCCTCTCACAGGTGGAGGTTCCCGTGGGCTTCTTATTAAACTTCACATTAGTTGCCAATATTTACAAATGAAAAAAAAATCTCATATAATATAGACTTTATTTCTTTAGAAGAATTATAAAAATCTGATGACACTAGGTTCCCTTGCTCTTAGTTGGTTAGAACTTAGTATAAGCTGCTTTTTTTACATGGGATGTGCTCCTGAAAATTCCCAACAACTCCAACCACTTCTCTTTCCTTTCAGGTTCAAAGCCAAATTTCAGTTGCTCGTAGACACAAAACTTGCACTATTGTTTTGTCGTGTTCATTAAGGTGTGTATCATATGGTGGAGAATGAGAGATGAATTAAAAAGCTTAGAGCTTGAAGAAAATTTGGAAACTCCAGTGTGCACTGGTTGACACTGCTACTCAGCAGGTGGAGGCCACATGAGAGGCCCAGATCCAATTAATGGCCCACTCTAAAAAGCTGAGCATGGTGACATGCATGTGTTGTCCTAGCTACTCTGGAAGCTGAGGAAGGAGGATTGTAATATAGCAAGGGATGGAAGGGGTGGATATTAGAAGGTGAATAGGAGGGACTCAGGAAAGAAATATTTAACAGACGTAAGAATGTAAAGCTCTCCATTGAAAATGACGTATATGGTAATATCTTTGATTTGATTATCACATACTCATGCATACTTTAAGAAAGCATATTGTGTGCCACAGAGATGTGCAATTAAATGTGAATAAGAAATCACAAAATAAAATTTGAAAAAGAACCTTGTCTAAAATGAAAGGAAAATAATTGTGAAAATAAGTTACTTCCCTGTGCATGTGAGGGTATTCTTCTATGTTAAATAGGAAAATACAATCTTCATTGTCTTTCTTGATGGACTAGAACATAAAACATCAATCACAAAATTAGTTGCAGATCAACTTCACGATCTCACTTGTATTCATAGTCATGTAGTGATTTAAAGTTATCTCCTCTGACTAAGAATACTTTATAAGCCAGTACAAGTTCAGTTGGCTTTGGGTGGTGGACATAGGTTTGAAACAGTGATATTTAACAATGGGTCTTTTCAGGATATACAAATAAAACAAAACATGTAACAAAAGAAAAGGTTATTAAAATCCTCCTAAGACCAATCTACATGTGATTCTGATATACAATCATTGTTGGAAATTGCTTCCTTAAATGAAAGGGTTAATATGTAACCAGGAGCCCATGGAGATCCTCACAGCCTGTGAAATCACTCTACAAGCCTCACATCCTCTGGGCAGGACTTGTCTGTCCAAGAACACAAACAGCAACATTAAAAATATAAAAAAGAAGAAGCCAGTAGGTGGCATAGTGGTTAAGGAGCTGAATTCCCACATGGTCAAAAGTAGTTCATATACCAGATATGGTGGCTTAAGAATCACACTGGGTGCATGTGTGTGGATGCCCAAAATCTCAGGAGGAAATGGAGAAGGGATTGCAGTGTGGTCATCCACCCTCAGGGGGTGATTTCTCACTTTCCTTCTCTCTCTCTCTCTCTCTCTTGAGCGAGTGCATGTGCTCTATGTTAAAAACAAACAAACAAACAAAAAACTCGAAAGTAAATAAATAAATAAAATGAAAATAAACGTAGCAAAACAGTAATAAATTATCTATTTATAATATATTAAATCTATTGTAATAGGCAGGACTTGATAATAACATGCTACAGCCTCTCTGCATCTTATTGCACAGATATAATAGCTGTTACAAACGCTCTCATTTAGGAATGCTGAAGATAGATTTGGAAGCATTAATATCCATCATATACGATACAGCATCTAGGTTTGAACAGAGGCTGTGTCACTACCCTGGGACACTGTACAGATGGCCTCTTGATGACTAGTAATGACTCCTTTCACCATAAATACTGAAGAGAAGAACAGCGATTTTGACAGAGTATGACAGCTGTAATTGAGAAGCAGAATAAAAAGAGCTTCTGAGTTAGAAATAACATGAATGGATGTTGTACACAGGAGTGGCTCAGAGTCAGTCTCTGGCATGTAATAGGTACTCCAGAGACACATGTCAATAGAATGAAACAGGAAGTTAGATATGCAGAAGTTTTAAATGAAATAAAGCACGAGAGGTTATGTAAATATGAATTACTTTTGGTTTGGAAGATATTTTGTTTAGAAATAAGAGTCTCAACAATAGGGCCAATAAGACCCATGGGCTTGTATTCACCCAACCAGGACCAAGCTGTGGACGAGTAGAAACTAGTGAGATAAGGAAGAAAGAACATGCGACAAGACCCGTGTGAGATATCTTCAGGAAGAGGTTTGGCCTCGTGCTGATCCTGGATGTCACCACATCCTGCCTTATTTCCTTCTTCCCTAAGTCTTTGCTGGAACCAAAGAGCCTGGTAAATAGCATACAGATGGCAACTCCATATTTGTTCTATATTTATTCATCTAAGCTCTAGAAAGCAACCTAGCACTGGGTGTGCTTTCTGTTCATGAACTCCCTTCATTCGCAGAAGAAGGGGGGATAAAGCAAAACCAAAAATAGTCAGGGTGACAGAGATAGGATGGTGGGGAAAAGGAAGCATTGAGGAATGGGTTACTGCACAGTGCTTTGGGTGAGTCAGAGCACTACGAGTGGAAGATACTGGAGGTTTCTTATTTCCTAGGCTTGTAAGAAGACAGAACAAGATCAGGTCAGGAGTCCTGGGTAGGAGTAGAGCCTGCTTTTCTCCGCAGAGGACCGCATTTTGTGCCTTGTTCTGTTGGCTGAGCTCTGTGGCAGGTAGATGAACAGAAGCCCAGAAACATCAAACGTGCTGGCATCCCAGCAAATGCCAGAGACCCCTGAGAGGGTTCCAACATTCAGCAAACTTCTAATTTAAAGTTCTTTGTTCAGGTTTTCTCCCTCAGTACGAGGATAAAGTGCTTACTTCAGTTTCTTTATTTCCTTATTTTGGTGCGCAGAGTCTGTGATGCCAACCTTTGGTTGTGGCAACATCACCGGTATCCAGAGGGTATGCTTTTCCAAACTCTGTTTTGTTCCAAGTTAGATTAAGGTCTTGATGAGAGGAGTTGAAGGGCTCTAGAGCATAGCTGAGTCTGTGGATTTCTAGGGGACTGTTATACACAGAGTTCCTGCCTTCTTCCTCTTTGTCTATCTTGATATTGGCTTTCTAATTTACCCTATTATCAGG